AAGGTTACCAAAAGCAACACTATGAAATGTGAATTATTTCACAGTTGTTTTTACCATGTTGAATAGTGCTGGGTTTGCATTCAAAATACAACAGCTACAAGTGAAGTGAATTGATTCTTTTTCTGTGCTCTGCAGTAAAATTTGCCATAAATAATAATAAAAATACAGATCCTTTTCCTAAGCCAACAGTAGAAAAAATATCAGTCAACTTTTTACTGTCAGTAAAAGCCTGAACAGTTAATGGTATCAAACAAAATCAGTTTATTAGCCATACCTTTTCCTGGTAAAAAAGGCATTGTTTCAAACCATACATTTAAAATGTTTAACACACTTTTGGCAAGCATATAGGCTCTGATTGTCAAACATATGCCATAAATTCATAGTCAGAGTCAGGGCAAAACATTTGACCTTCTTGTGGCTCAGACAATCCAGCTGTAAAATTAGATGAAAGCAGAACAGAAAAACAGATGCTGCTGCATCCAATTTGAGCTTTCTTGAGCAAACAACATCTTAAGAGAGCAGAATTAATGTCTTGTATGAACTGCAATATTTTATTTCATGCTTATCAGCACAATCTGTAAATTAAAATAAAAACCTGAAAAACTTTTTAAGCCTGCCATTTGTATGACATTGAATTTCCAAATTTACAAATTATTGATGTGTTTCCAAGGACAGGCAGTAGCTACCTAGAAAACTGAGCCTACTGGGCCTTTGGCAAGGAAGGTTTTCCTGGAATGAGCTGGGTACCACAGTTTAAACCATCTGTCAAATCCACTATGGACCCACAAGAGCTTAGAGGGCCATGCAGAGAGAAGGCCAGGCCAAAGCATCTGACACATGCATGGGTTGAGCTCATTTTCCAGGCAGTCAGCCACCCCAGAAGCTCCACCTGGAATTTGACATTCTTCTTTCCCCTTACCAAGTCATAGGGAAATCTACTTTTTGCTCGTGTCTGGGTTGCCAGCTTCTGCTGGGCTCCAGTGTGTTGGCAGCTGATAAGAGTGTGCTGCAGTGTCCTATCCAGACAGACCTGCCTCCCTTGCTAGGAGGAATCCATCACATCTATGCTACAACTACAGCTGTGCAAACACAGCTAGTGAAATTCCTAAAAAGCTTAAAACCACAGTTTGCTCCCAGGCTGGAAGGCAGAACTTCAGTAGGGGTAATTGCAGACACCCTCAGGGGAATATGAAAATATGAACTGCCACCTTGCTGGTTTGGGATTTTCCAAGTTTATATTGGGAAAAGATTAAAAATCCTGAAGGAAATTTTAAAAAGAAAAAAAAAAACTCCACAAAACAGCACCAGAACGCACATCCCACAAGTCAGGTTTGCTTACTTGTGTTAGTACTCGGAAATAACACTACTTCTGCTTCAAAGGCAAATTAGGAAACACATCCGAATTTGCACATTGTCTGTTGACCTCACTTTTTGGAGGTGGGAAAACTGTATTTGGATTATTTTCCAGAACATCATTTGGAACAAATAAATAAAGAAAAAAACTAAGTTTAACCTAAGAAAGAGTGAAATTCACGTGTTGCATGTTATCCCCCCGTTATTCTTTTCCATTTCTTGACTACATTAAAGTACTCAATGAATTCAGACAGAACCTGAAACCGTGTTGGCTTCACCCCCTTTTCCAAAGCAAAAATTATGCCCTGCTCAGTAATTGCCTTCCCCTACTGGAAACCAAGCTACCATAAACCAGGTTCTGATGTTGCTCTAGCTATTTGAAAGCCCTAAGTACCACAGGGTCTTCACTGATGACTCTGTGTCTTGGATATAATGAGATTAAGCACAACAGAGCCAGAACACTAAACCATTTTTTTTTAGCAATGCTGTCCAACTGTGCCAACAGGTGTGGTTTTCATTACAAATAATAAGGAAATGCTGATAATACTGTACTATATTTTTTGTGGCAGCAAAGAAAATAAATTCTTCCTAACTATATTAACCCTGTTTTTGCCCTACAATAATAAAGCTGATGGAAATACATTTCTCTTATAAACACTTTCTCATACCTTTGGAGCTGTTTATGAGTAAGGAGTTATCACATTAAATATCCTGTCATTCTGAAATTTAAATCATGTAGCAATATCCAGTATTACAACTTAAGGGTACATTACATTTTCAGATAAAGATTTTTCACTGTTTCGGAAAAAAGACCCTTTTTTTTTAAAGAATTTGCATAAATTCTTGTCATTTTATCTAATTTGGTTCTTTCATGGATCCAATCCATCACTTGGTTTCTAAGATAGCTTTTGCAATTGAATACTGATTTGCCAGAGAATGTATGCATATTTTATATCTTCTTGAAAACAGAGTTTAAAGAATAGTGTGAATTCCCTGGAAAGCAAGCTGTAGAGAAATGAAGCCAAAGTCTTTGTTAATAAATGTCACAGTTTAATCAAATATAAAATAAAGAGAGACAATTACAAGTTATATAAGTAAGACATTCTACTAGAAGGGCAAAGAACACATCACACTTCACCAATGAGACAAAATTATCTTTGTTCTTGCCTGTTTAGATTACATAAACTCTCACAAACCAACTTTATTTTTTCATACGCTGAAGTAGATAATCACCTTGGATAAAATATTATCCAACAGTAGGTGTACAAAGATACCTTCTGGTGAATGAACAAAGAAAAAGATGGCATTACTTGTTTTGCAAAGAAGACAGCAGGAAGATCACAAAGGATTAAACCACATCTTAATTCCCCAACACCTTGAGCATTGTGGATGGATAATATTTGTATGTTTCTAGTTATCTGTGAATTTTAATTAAACATGAATGCTTCTGTCAAATGGCAAAGAACTTCATTTGATATTCCAATCCAGTCCTAAACTCTTAAACATGAGGTTAAAGAGTTCTATAACTAGAGGGCAATAGAATTTGTATGTAACAATATTTTTGTTTGAGTGGGGACAGCTCATTCAAGCAGGAGAGAGACAAGAACAATAAAATGCTACTTCACATGTTATGGAACTGCATCTTTTTGGGGGAAATCTTGAATTCTCTGTTCCAGATCAGCCCATTTCAACATTGGTATCTCAGTTCAAATATTTACCTGAGGACAACTTGTGTGCATAAGAGCAGTTTCTGAGGAACTACTCAAAGCCCTTCTCCATCAGCTTTACTCTTCCCATCAAAACACTTTAAAGCCCATGATAGGTCCCACAGCTAAGTTAGCTTTTTGGAAGGCCAAGGGGCAGCTGGTAGCTGAGAAGCTGAACAAAAAAGAAGTCTGCCATGGCAAAGCAGGGCTGAGTTCACCAAGCACGTGTCCATAAGGAACCAAGTGGAGAGTTTGCCTGCTTGTTTCTTCCCATGGGGCATTTCCAAAGAGCTTGTGTGCAAGGCTGGGAATGCCACTTGCACTTGTGTCTTCTGTGGGAGGGGAGAAGGCAGGCTAAAAAGAGATTAAGTGGATAAAGAACAATATCCTCCTGAAAGTTTTAGGGTTTTCCTTTTTCTTATACCCAGTTGTAAGGCTGTGCCTGAGAAACCTGTGTGGAACAGCTCAAGAGCCCTTGGCTTCAGCTACATCTTGGCTATTGTTTTATCCACAATAACAGCAAAATCCTTGCCAAAAAAAAACCCCAAACCTGTTTAAAAACAGAATTTAAGACTCTAAGGCTGCCATGCTGAATGGATTATTGGGCAATCCGTATTTGGAAGCAGTGGTCATCTACTGAGAGAGTATTCAGGTACCACTTTCTGCCTGAGAAAGCCAAAATGGTTGACAGAGCACATCCACACTGGAAATGCTGTGGGTTTGCAGCATGATGGGTGTAGGTATCCCATGCTGCATGGAAGAGAACCAGGAAAAATATTTTCTTTCAGCATAAAACATGAAGTGATTTGGCTAAAGCATTTTTTTATCCCTGAAAAAGTTAGCCAATGAGCACCAAAAAGCCCCAGAAACAAAAATAACTTTGCTCAAATCAGGAATGTGTACAAGAAAGTAGATGGCCTTGGAGTGCAAGTAATTTACAGATTGCATAGTCAAAAGCCCTTCAACAGGGCCTGGATAACCATATGAGAGGAGAACAAGGTGAAGAGTAAGGAAAATCCCCAGAGAAATAATTACTGATATTATGTACAAATTTGATTAGGAACATCTGGAAAAATTCCAGCTGAGGAGTAGAGAATATTCAAACACTTTAATTTCACATAACCAAGCTGTGTTTTTGCATGTACATAGCTCTTTAGAGCCCCTGCTAACTTTTTCAGGAACTTACAAATTACTATTAATTCAGAAAATTAATCTCAGAATATGATGCTGTAAAATATTAAAATCTCTTTACCTATAATTTGGTAGTGTATATTACAATAATCTTTTCAGCCACCAAATCAAAAGAAAAAAAGCAGACTGACTTTAATGGCTGACAGTTCACATTGCTTTGGGTCACCTTTTACAATGAAGGTGTGACAAAAATAAAAACAAAGTCCAGAAATCTTTATTTCCAGCTGATGACTAATTTCCAATTATATGAATAATTAATAAAATAATTTAAAGAAAAATCAGTGTACGTTCAGATAGTAAATGCAGATCAAAGCTGTTCTATGTTAATAAAATATTGAGCTACATAATATTCCTGAACAGAGTGGGGTTTTTGTCAGGAAGATAAGTTAATTGGTATTCTGACCTTTCACTTTCAGTGTTAACCTGAAGCTAACAGGAAGGACAGTTGTTCTGGAAGGAAGTGTCTAACAAGATATTAAAATTTTTATTGTCTCAAACAGCCTTTTACATTCTTAGTCAAACAGCCTGCAACAGAACTAAGCCTGTCTGTGACTGTCGAGTGCGCTGTGGCAATGTCAAGGACTTCTTTTATTATTTATATATATATTTTTTGGTTCACTTTGGCGTGTTCTCCCAAGACCTGGCTGATCTCACTGGAAAGTGTTCCATTTATCCAGCTAGGACAAATCAGCCAGCAGAGGAGAGCTCCGTGCCCAATCGATACCCCCGGCACGCACCGACAAGCAGCATCAGCGTCATCTCCCCCTCCCCCAGAAAATGCACTGGCAAAATGTGCACTCCAGAGATGGAAATGTTATCACAGCACAGGTCAGTAAACTATTGATGGGACTAAGAAACGTCTACTGATGTACAGGGAATGATGTGTGGCAGTTTGATCTAGCAAGGGGACTATTTGGTATGCCAAACACAGCTCTCTGCTCGGTGTTGTCTTTTTGGCTCACTTTAAAATGCTTCAATGTCAAAGCTTCAGCTGGCATGGGATCATATTGTAGGGATGTCTGCAGCACATGTTAAAAAAAATAAAAACCAGAACTTTTTTAGTAAATTGAAATATTCTAAAAAATTAACTTCTAGTTTATCACGTCTTAAAGTGTCAGAGCCTTCATACAGCTCTAACTTCATCTTATACACAAATGATGGCTTTCAATGACTAGATAGTCAAGCTTACTAATGTTCTAATTATGTCAGTGCAAATTAGATATACAGTAGTTTAAATTGCTTTGATAATGCCTGTAGGGTGACTACTAGCAATGAGAGAAATATCAGGTTAGACATTTGGGTCACAGCGTGTCAACCTTTCCTAACAAAGTTGACTTTTTCTTCTGATTTTAGTTTTGCTATAACATAAGTTTTAGATCCCAAGTTCAATTTGTTTGGGGGAGGAAAAACAAAATAAAAACCATTGGAAGAAGTTTTATAGTATAGCATTATATAATGTATAATTTAATAATGTTTTCCCATGCACACACATGTGTCTGGTTATTTTTTTCTGTCTTGTGTATAGTGTTCAGCTGTGGATAGAAACCACTTGAAACTTCCAGAATCCACCCCACCACTGCAGGCTTGCAAGAAGAGCCCTTCCTCTCCTTATGCAGGGACCAAGGGCTAGTTAAAATGGAAGCTCATATTCTTGACAGAGAAAGCAAAAGTTATTCTGAAGTATTTATGAGCAATTGGCCAACTCTGAATATTTCCTGCACACTAATAAATCATGCAATAGGGGCAGCCACAGGAAAAACTGTATCATGTAGGTATTATAAAGCACATCCACCATATGCCACAAGGAATTCTGTTCCTTCCAAAACCCTCTCTTCAGGGCAAAGTGATCTCACCACCCTTGTCCTCAAATAACTGATCTGCAAGTGGTACAGTCTGGAGTTGTAGAATATAGACTCTCTCCAGTGTACTTTTCTTACACTTATGCACACGTGTTTGCAGGCATGTGTGCATGCATATGTATATACCTGTAGTCACACTGCATGCAAGCATCTTTTAATATATACTTGTGATAAATGCTAGTGAAAAAAAACACTTTATTGCTTTATGACATCACATTCCCACCGATTAATGAAACTCAGCCTTTGAGACTCATTTAACTTTGCTGGCACAAAATTGAACCAGTACTCCAAAAAGAGGTTTCTGGGGCAAGGATTTCTCTGTGTAAAACCACACATGATTATTGTTACTAGATCTGCTAATGACAAGACTGCAGCAGATGGTATTCTCCAGGCAGATGCAAGAGAGCTATGCCTCCTCAGCTAATAGAACATAAGCCAACTTGAAACCAGAAGTCCTGTGAAAATATAAGTGCAATCCTGAGCTTGAAATAATAAGCCTTCTGGATATTCAGCATATTTCTATTTTGGCTGTGCTGGGATTGTCACACAGCTTTTATGGTGTCCTGCCACTTCATCTGTGGCTAGAGAAGTTGTGCCTGCTGCAGTCTCCCATATGGATATGGATGATAGAACAGTTCAGCTACACCTGTGATGACAAACCAGCACTAGGACATCAGGACATCCTGCTACACATGGCTGACACTCTCTCGACACACATTTGCCCTCTGCCAACCAGCTGCACCCAGAAAACACCCAGGGATAATTTGTGGGACTATCATGGGTCAAGAGCCACTCTCAGCAGGCAGAAGAGACCAAGCCATTCTCTCTAGGGAGAAAGGGCAAAAGGGAGAGAAGGAGGGAAATTAACCAAAAAAGCTGTGTTACGCCTTTTATTACAGGGACAGATGACAAGATATTCTACATCTATTTACTATAAAAGACAGACTCTCTGAAGTCTACCTCCCAGACTCTGACAAAACATTCAGAGAGAAATTATGAAGAATATAAAGATTCAGCAGTACAACTACTTCCTTCTTTATAAATACAATAGTTGAAGCAGTTATTCAAGTGAACACTCATATAATTATGCCAGAGAAAATAAATAAGAAGCAGTTATGTGAGAAAACTATAGGGCCTAGCCATTATTCTGCTCCTTGATCCCCAATGTACCTTCTTTTGATGGACTGGGATGTTCTTTATAAACAGTTGAAACCCTGTAAAAATGAAGTAAATAGAGCTATATGTAAAGAGATAAATCAGGCCATATAGCTGTTGTGATGTACATTCTTTATGCAAAACTGTCTATAATTTTGAGTTGTAGCCACTGGTTTTTAGTGACGTTTCCATTCTTCATCTGCACACTTCCCTCGTATTTTTTTTTGTTGTTTTTATCGTAGAATTACTATAGGAAAAATCAAAGTAATCTTGTTCTTGGAGGGTAGGCCAGGTGGTCTTTAAAGGTCCCTCCCAACTCAAACCCTTCTATCATTCTATGTCTCAGCTACTCTCCTGTAGAAGACAAGATTTACAAAAAGACCCATTGAAAAAGAAACACTGGGTAGGTTTATTGGCTTTGAACAGATGGCTGAAAGGGACATCATGGAAAACATTTAAATGCTCAAAAAGATATTGATTAAATGTAAACTAGATGGGCCTCAAGTGTTCAGATAGCTCAGACTCATGTTTTAGGGAACATGGAGAAAATAAATTCAACCAGAATATATATATATATATATATCTCGTGGAAAAAGTGGAAAACATTAAACTCAATTTAAGAAGCAGTAGGCAGAAATAATGTACATATTATGGTAAATTTGCAGACTCCTTGAAATTTAATAATAGTAAATTTATTTATTGCCAGGCACCACTCTCTGAAACCTATTGCTGTGATCCAGAACATAAATTCTTCTCCATATGCAGTCAAATGGCAACTGCATGAGCCTACACAGTGTAAAGAAAATTGTACAGATGTACTTTTGCAAAGAAAAGCTGAGGATTATGGTGGAAAGCAGAGAAGTGGCCTTACTTTGGTTCAAAAGGATTTTGTACAATTATATTCTTTCTGTTCTCCAACTTCCACCCCAGACCCATTCCTCCCTATCTCACCAGACTCTCTAAAGCTCTTCTTTTATGTGAGTGCCTCATATAAGTGGTAACTTACATTTGGGATTAGATATTTGTCTTTTTTCCAGAGCAGATGCAAATTCTTTCTCAATTGTACTATTTACTTTTAAAAAACCAACCAACCAAAAAAACAACTAAGAAGGAGTATGTTATAAAAATATTTCTACGAACTTCACGGAGTGAGTTTTGTTCAGATATCCTGATAGGGAGTAAAGAACAAGTTTTGATGGAGAAGAATTAAATATAAATTAAATAGGCAAAACTTAACTAAAATAAAACAAAATAAACTAGAAAACAAAACAAAACAAAAAATCCCCTGCCCATGTTGCAAAATGTATTTGGGGGAGAACAAAAAAAGAATTAAAAGTTTCAGAGTCTATTCACTCCTGGATCACAAATAATCTGACTACTGTGTAAAAATGAATTATACTGGATCTGCATATTGGATCCATCTCCTATACAATGACTGTATTCTATTAAATACATAAGGGAATGCCTGGGATCAACAAGGTACTTTATCAATTTATCATCTTTGTCTTGATGTTTCCTTAAATAACTGCAAATTTGACCTAGGCAGTGAGGTTACCTCCACAGTTAAATTCCTTGAGGCATTGCAGGAAAGGGCTGTGGAGGACAGACAGAAACAACCACAACTATAAACAGTCAGAGCTCATAATCAGTGTGCTAAAAGGTGTTCTGAACTTGATGTTATTGTCCACCCCTCCGTGCAAAGCAATTATGATTACTGAGAGGATTTCACTGGCTTTTTCTGGGGGGTAGGTGGCACAAATTCACATCTTGCAAAGGAATCACTCAAAATAATTTCAGTAACCGTTTGGAATCACACTGCTCTTTGCCTCTTGTTCCATACCGGGCTCCTGCACATGGCTGCAAAAACCAGGACACAATTTATACACTTGCCATCTGTGCAGGGCATGACTGTCAGAAGAAATGCACAAATACCTTCTGGGGTGAGATTTCTTGGTGGTTATTGCATAAGAGAGACATATTTAAATGCACACTTTAGTCTATATGGTTCTGATCCAGACCTGCTGGAAGACAGTCCAAGAGGAATTCCATTTTTTGCAGGCCCTTGCCTTTAGCTAGACTTTTGCCCAGTTGAGTGATTTTAGGATGCTATTCCCATCCAGGCCATCTTATGACTCGCTCCCTACCTTTCTTTGGTAATTATCAAGGCAGTTTTAATAAAAAAAAACAACTCAAACAAAAACAAAAAACCCCAAAAAAACCCCCAAACCAACAAACAAACAACCCCAGGATGAAAGCACTTTAAACCCCCTAAATGCATCATCATTGATTAAATGAATATTGAATATATTGTACTGCAAGGGGAAGGAAGAAATCAGTGTACAGAGTACCTGGTCTTCTGTTTGCTTAGTGCAGTGAAGAATTTAACAGAAATCTGAAAAGAAAATAAATTAAAAGGACACAACTTTCCTGAAATTTTCAATATCTCACAGTCTGAGAATCTGCAAATTTTGGAGTGAATGTGATGTGGGAAGGCACTGTAGTTTGCACAAGCTCCCAAAAAACAACTTGCCCATCCAGAGTGCTGCTATTGGACTGTACATGGACTGCTCCTGTGTCAGAAAGTGGAGTGCCTTCTATAATTAACAGATAACTCATCTTTGATAGCATGCCAAGAAAATAATAACTTTGCTACAGCAAAATGTAAAACTCTGTCAAAAGGAGGCATCTATCTGTTTCCACAAGACCCATGGTGATTAGTTTGGCCCTAATTAACAGCAGCTTTCTAAAGTAAGAGATAATTGCTGGCACATATAACATAGATTTCAATAGCTAAAATGAGCAATAATGAATATT